TTTATAAGTAGATAATTAATATATAAGTAGACATAATAATTGTATAAGTATTAAATAATAAAATAAAATATAGAAAAAATGACCAAAATAATACCCTACACTTTTAGGTTGACAAAAACGGAACCAGGTTTCAATTAGGACAAAAATAAGACCAATTAATATTGAACGGACATCAATACCCCTTATGTCTTTATTATCAGCCTCTTAGGGAGTGTTTGCAACTGCTTAAAAAAGCACTTCTCAGCTTTTGGCTTTAAAAAGCACTTATTTACCAAACACTACCAATTTTTACTTTTTCTCGGCTTGCGTGTAAAAAGTGCTTTTCCCTTTTCTATTACACAAAAAGCACTTATTTTACCAAACACTACCAACTTTTACTTTTCAAAATCATTTTTTTCTCAAACACTATCAACTTTTACTACTAATCACTTTTTTCTTACATCTCCAAAAGTGCTTTTTTTTAAGCAGAAGCAGTTGCAAACACTCCCTTAGTCCTCTTCGTTGCCTCATTTGCAAAATGCCGATGCACACTGAAGTTGCTCTGCAATAATGCCTCTGTCTTCATGCCACTCCCATCTCCACGCCGCCGCCGTCTCAATGCTACCGTCACTTTCACACCACCTTCGACATCCCACGCGGTAATCACTGGTGCTTTTTATTCTTGTTCTTATTCTCATTCTCTGTAATAATCTCTCGACATAGCGATGGCGGAGACCTGGCGATGGAGGTGACATGGTGATGGCGGCGAACTGGCGATAGAGTGGCCTGGAGATGGATCCGACATCCAGGGCTTCATATTTGGACTCCAAATCGATAGATCTTGGGTTTCACAATCACGATCGACAGGGCAATGACGGGATGCTTGCCGCCGGTAACCGCAGGTGGCGGCTAGGGTTACTGTAGCGGCCTGATTGTCTGGTCGGAGCTTTGACTGAAGAGTAGTGGCAGCTAGGTTTACAGTGGCGGTGGTTGGGGTTGCGGTTGGAGGTTGGGTTGGTAGGACCCGGATCTGGGAGGGGGGGAGGGGGAGAGTACTGAGTACAGGGGTTGGGGTTGGGGAGTAGGGGAGGGGTTTGGGGGCAGTAGGTCACCGGTGGGCTGGCGGGGTTTGGCGGTGCGCAGTGGCGGTGGTCGGCATACTACTGGTATCACCGTAAATTTGTTTGAAAATGATGATTTAGATGGATATAATCCTAATTGATTCGGTCTATTAACTGGACGGGTCGAGTAACTGTAACTGGACAGATTATGTACCCATTATTAGACGGGTTAGGTAACTGTAACTGAACGGGTCGGATAACTGTAACTAGGGACGGGTCAGATAACTGTAACTAGATAGATTGGGTAACTGTAACTGTTTGGATCAGATAACTGTAACTGGTCGAATCGGGTAACTGTAACTGGTCGAATTGGGTAACGGTAACTGGTCGAATAGGATAATTGTAACTGATCGAATTGGGTAACTGTAATTGGTCACTAATGATTTTTTGGTCACTGGTGAATTTTGGATTTTTGGTCACTAATGATTTTTTGTTACTGACGAATTTTGGTCACTGGTGAATTTTAGATTTTTGGTCACTAATGATTTTTGGTCACTGGATGAATTTTGTAACTATGTCATTGGTAACTGTAATATTGGTCACTGCACATTTGGTCACTGTGACGGGTTACTGTAGCAGGCCGGTGGGTTTGGGCTTAGTAAGGGTGTAATAGTCCCTTAAGTATTATTTAGTCTTATTTTTGGAACTTAAAAGAAAAGTCTCTGTTTTTGTCCAAATACTTTTAATTAGTATTATTTGAGGACAAACCCCTAAAATATAATGGAGAATAAGAGAATTCGAGAAGATGAATATGGAGATGAGTAGAGACTAGGATTTAGGAAGAGTTGGAGAATAGGTGTGAAAAAATGTTTAAAATTAGGAGTATTTATAGGTTTTTTTAGTAAAGGGTCAGTTTGGTCTTCGAAGTTGCATAAAAGGGGTCAAATAAGTCCTTATATAGGAGGTTCTATCCGGCTGTCGTCATTTGGGTCGGTTCCCGGTGGAATTTTTTGAGCATCTTATTCATTAAGTCTAGTTCATTCATACCAAATTTCAGATAAAAATTCAATCGAGAAGACATTCAAATGAATTCGGGAAGATAACTGTGCAATTAAAAGCGCATTCATCTTCAAGAATTCATTTGAATGCCTTCCCGATTGAATTTTTAGCTGAAATTTGGTATGAGTAAACTAGGCCTGGGACCGGTTCGGTTCTTACTCAAAACGAGTGGAACTGTTATAAAAGTTTTAACTAATGAAATCGGTTCGGTTCCTATATAAAAAATCAAGAACCGTTATGAAACCGAACCGGTAGTAAACGGTTCGGTTCTTCCTTTTACCGGTTCCTAGAATACTTTTTTTCATCTAAGAATTAACACCTAATTCACTTTCTACAAACAACATAAACACGTCGAAAATTCAAAACACGAGTATTAAAATTTAATTTGAAACTCTAATCACATCAAAGCTCAAACTTAACTAATGAACTGTGAACACTGAATAGAACAAAAGATGATTTAAATTTTCATGTAATAAATAAAACATAAAAATCGTTGTATTGTGGGATCGGTGATGGTTACTTGTCATCATTGTAACAAGAATAGGACGCCTACTTCAAGTCTTTCAAAACATAAAAAATACATTGAGTTCACATGTATGTATATATATAACATTATTACATTCTATTGATTCATAATAAATCTAATAATTAGAAATATCATGAAAATAGTAAAGTAAAATATGTGCAATTGCAAGTTATTTGGGTTATTTTTCATTTATAAAATTTATGTGATGAAACAAAATTTGATTTCTAGAAAGGAGTTTAATGTATTATATCAACCTCATGTAGGGGTGAGCAAAATTACCGAACCGGCATGGTACCGAACCGGACCGGTATGGTACCGGACCGCAAAAGGGGTTTGAAACGGTTTTCAAAAAATTTATCCCGAACCGTACTGTACTGGTTCGAAACCATGCCATGACCGGTTCTCATAAAATGAGAACCGGTACCGGACCGAACCGAATTATAATTTTATTAATTTATATAATTAATAATTTATGATTATATATACATGTATACCATATTACCATTATTACTTTGATTACTCATTTGCAATTTTCTAATTGGTAGTTCACTGCAAGCTACCTGCAGCAGCAGATTTTTATAATCGTGAAGCCTAACCCAATTTCTCTTATTTCTTTTTGAATATAAGTAGAGTTTTAACATTTTTAGCACTTTAGCCCATCTAAAAAAATATACTCCGACCCGCCTGCCCAAAATAATGCTTCTATTGGGAAAAAATACACTGATTATGTGTGTTTGAGTGGAAAGTTGGAGTCTGGAGAAGCCAATGATGCTTAGAGAGTTGTTGTCGTGAACATTTTGTGATTTATGTTTTGTACTAATATGAAATTTATTAATTATGTAATATGAAAATTGATAATTGTGTTGATTTTGGATGATGATTAAGCTTTAATTTGTCGGAAAAAAACGGCATTTTTTGGTATGGTATGGCATGATACCATACCGTTTGAAAATGGAACCGTACCGAACGGGTTTAGCTCTAGGACCAAACCGAACTGAACCGTTTCAATAGTAACGGTCTGGATACGGGTTCGATCAAATATTGGACCGGACCGGACCGCGCCCACCCCTGACCTCATGTACAATATTTATTACTTCGTTTTCGTTGATTAAATTAGAATTGTTAGTTAAATATCTTATATCGTTTTATTATTATTGCTGTGGTGGTGGTTATTGTTGCTATTATATTATTATTATTTTACTAATACTATTTTTTAGTTAATATATACTACCTCCGTCCCAAATTGAGTTGCAATTTTGACTTTTCTTGGTCAAACAGATTCGTTTTGTTCGTTTAATTAGGATATCAATTTCTAATTATATTCCAATTTGGACTTTACAACTTTGAAGAGATTTCAATGTAGTTAATGAATATGTAAATTTTAATTATTAAAAATTGAATTAATTATCAATATGAAGGTTTGACTTTTATTATTGGTTGACCAAAAAATATTGACTTTGCAAAACAATTTGGGACGGAGGGAGTATATATTTTTTTTTCCTCAAAAAAATATTATTTTATTTTTTATTTTTTTTAATAATGGTTCCTTAACGGTTCCATGCACATATTTTTTTATAGGAACCAAGAACCGAACCATTATAATCCGCTTCGGTTCGGTTCGTACAATTGAGGTATTAATTGTTAACGGTTCGGTTCCTAGATGTTGTTAACGGTTCGGTTCCAATCGATTCTACGGTTTCCAGTTCCAAAATCCCACCCCTAGAGTAAACTAGACTTAATGAATAAGATGCTCAAAATAATTTATCAAAAAATTCCACCGGGAACCGCCTCAAATGGCACGTCCGGACAGAATCTTTTATATAAGGACTTATTTGACCCCTTTTATGCAACTTCAAAGACCAAACATACCCTTTACTCGGTTCTTTTAACCCCCCACCCCCCAAAAGCCCCGGACCCCCCCGGTACCCACCCAACGGCTATATAGCCGTTTGGGATGTGGGTCAAGAGCCAAACGGCTCTTTAGAGCCTTAAAGGGAAAAAAATTAAAATATGGCCATTAGGCCCGGACCCAGGCCCAACCGGGCCGGGTCGCCAAAACCAAGCACCGAGCCCAGACCCCCCCCCCCCCCCCCCCGGTTCGGTTACTGACCCAGACCTGGACCCGAGAACCGGGCTGGTCCCGGGCCCGCACAGTAGCGGGCCGGGCCGGGTGGCCCGAACCGGGTCCAAGACTAATGTTAGCCTCAGCACTTCTCTAGAATAATCAAACATAAAAACGGAAAAGTTGAAAAGATATGCCCTTGTGCCAACATTCTATAATATGCTGCAGATTCAACAGTATATCTATTCCAGATTTGTAATTTAATGTCCCATTAACACTCCAATAAAGCAAAAACAGACCATTAGTTCATTACTTTGACAATGCAAGAAAAACATGAATCATTATATATTGAATTATTGACCAAATATACTATTGCAACGGTAAGTCTTCTATCATGGGTGCAAGAGCCTTCAAGCCCAAATATCTTCTGGTATTTAATGTACTAACTACAATGGACTAATAATTGGGTAAAGTTCTATTCTAATTCACTACCCCGTAATTTACAAGCACATCAAGTTTTTGAAAAAAAAACTACTCCGTATTACTAATCTTCATCTGTGTAAAGAAACTTTTCATACACAGTTCCCTTCAGTTTCTCCTGCACTTCATCCCAATTCTTAATTTGGTTTGATAGAGAGCCGCTGTGTATCTTAACCTGCAGACTCGTAAGGTTTCTAATCGGCAGCCCAAGAAATTCTTGAACGTCTCTGAGTTTCTGCTCACAACATAATATAGCATGATAAATAAATCTACACATTCAATGAAATATATATAAATTTATAAATGCTCACTCTGTCACTCACCGTGCGATTTCTAACAATATCTTCATAGTAAAACACAACATGCCGCGTGTTCTTGAAGAAATCCAAAGCCATAGCAGAATTCTTCATGGTGCTTCTTAGTTTGGGTATGAGTGCAGATATATTTACACTTGGTTTGTATTTAGCAAGTATATGAGCCTGGGAATATGGAAAAGACAATGAAGTCAAACATATGTTTGTGATGGTACATATATTATATACATGCAGTTGTAAAGGCTAAAAATACCCAGAAAGATAATGTATATGTAGTTAGATGGGGTAGAGACCTCTTGGGGAGAATGAACATGAGATTTGTGTATTCCATTTAAGAGTTTAACATCCTTGTCATAAGTATTTGCAAGGAGGGAGATCAACCTACGCAGCGGATTCCTTCGTAATAGAAATATCGCAGACACCCCTCGCCTCCTGAAGTACTCCACAATCGCTTCGTGATGCATCATAATCCCCTGTATGTGCATGTCCATGATATTCTTGAGAGATCAAACTTCAACATTGTTTACTATAACTGACAGAAAAGTCACTTTTTGAACCATTTGGTAATTGTTACTCCTCCGTCCCGCTATGATTGTCCCGTTTTACCTTTTCGGTCCGTCCCACTAAGATTGTCTCATACCTTATTTGGTAAAGTTTGTGTGGTTCTAAATCATTCCTACTTTATTCTTACTTTATCAATTCAATACAAACCGCATAAATACACTTTTATTAATAACCGTGCCACCTTCTCTTGTCCCAAACATAGGGAGACGGAGGTAGTATTTTTTATGAAGTTGAAATGTTCACAAACAATTTTTAGGTATTTTTGGAAGTTGTTAGTTTGCCAAACACACTGCAACTTGAGTTTTTTTGCACAGTTAGTAACAATTGGATTTGGCACATATGAAACAAACTAGAAAAAAGCTAGTGATAATTCAAATAACCCAGCCTTTCAATTGACTACGTGTTTTTAAAGATTTTTTCAACTATTTTTTTTTTGAAGGAAAAGATTTTTTCAACTATAGAAAGTGAGAACGACCAAACTTAGTATCTCACACATAGACTATATGCCCACAAAGAGCGGATTATGCTAAAAAAATACTCCCTTTGTCCTATTATATATGAACACTCATCGCCTCATCGAATATTTCACGTGGATTAAGATATTGATGAATTGTGTTGTTGAAAGTTGTTAGAACAGAGAAAAAAAAACATGAAATAGTTTATTTTGAGATTACTGTTTTTTATTAAGATAATGTGTGGGAGGAAATGAGCAATGTAAAGGACCTTGTAAAAGCGATATCTTTCTCCTATTTTACATACGTAGTATCTGCTTGTATAGGTCAATGGACTAATTAAATCTAAAGTCCATTAACTATATAGAAATTGTCATGAATAGGAGTAAAAACGTTTTGAAATTCCAAAATAGGACTTTCATGTTTTTATTTCCTAAATAGGAGTAATTTCTGTCAATTTTGGGGAAAAATGTCATGTTTAAAGTCTGATAATGCCAAACTTGATAGAAATTACTCCTATTTAGTGAATAAAAAACATGAAAATTCTATTTTGGTATATAATTCAAAACTTTTTTACTCCTATTTAGTCATTTAGGGAATTTTTGTTTAATTATACAAGCAAATACTACATACTTGTATTAATACTCTCCCTGCCTCAAAGAACTAAATTCCCGTATTTCTATTTGGAAAGTTTCTAAACAAAGTCATCTTTATTTATTTGGTAAAATGATGTTGTCAATTACTCTACTAACCTCAAGTAATAGTGATTATTATACATTAATAAACGAAATAATTGCTGGGGTATCACTATCCCGCTTTTCCTTTCTAAAAATATAACAAGAATGCACTTTTCTAAAAATATGACTTCTTTCCTTCGCACATGACCGGCCCAGCCCAACAGATCACACGTCTCTCTTCTCCACCATCGCAAGCTTCCCCCTCCAGCAGCCATCGACGCAAGACACGAATCCCACGCGGCTATCTTCTTCGCTGCTTCTCACCTCCATCGTCGACCACGACTCCACCACCAACGCGACGCCATCAAAGCAGACAGAGACCACCAGTGCAACGCCATCGAAGAAGACAGAGCCCACCAGTACGACGGAGACGGAGATGGTCTGCATCGGCGACGAAAGCGTCATCCTCTCCATCTTCGCTGCTTCTCTTCGCCATCTCTGTTCAGTTCTGTTGTCGATTTCAGATCTGTGTGAGTTCCAGATGGGCTATGGAGGCTGGGGCGAAGAGAGCGGTAGTTGTTGGGGCAAGGATGCGCTGCTGGCCGGTGCTAGGGGCGGATTGGGTCAGGGCGAATTGCTGGCCGGGGCTGGGGGCGGATTTGGTTGTGGAACGTTGTTGGCCGGCGCTAGAGGTGGATCTGGATGTGGCATGTTGTTGGGCGGCGCAGGGCGGCGCCGGGGAGGTGGCTGAAGGCTGGGAGGGGGCTGGGAGGGGTTGGGGGGATGAGTCAGGGCTGGGGCAGCGGTCGGGGGGTGGCAGTGGCGGGTGGCGGTGGCGTCACTGTGGCTGAGTAACCGTGACCAGTGGTGAGTTGCCGGGGAAGGGGGGCAACAGTGACTGGTCGGGGGCAGTGATTGGTGGAGTCACTTTGGTCGAGTCGCTTTGGCCGGAGTGACTGTGGCGGCGGGGCAGTCATTGTGGCGGCGGGGCAGTCACTGTGGCGGCGGGGTAGTCACTGTGGCGGTGGGACGGTCACTGTGGCGGCGGGGCAGTCACTGTGGTCGGTGGGGTCACTTTGGCCGGAGTCACTTTGGCCGGAGTCACTTTAAACTGCAGGGTTAATTAGGATGTTGGTCACATTTTTAGAACTTTTAAAAACAGATCACTTTTTCATCTTTTATCCTATTTTTAGTAATATTGGAATAAAAAGGCCTTAATAAACACTGCCAAATAGTGTGAGAAAATTGTATTTTAGAGGAGTATTTACCTTCGGGTTTAATACATGAACCCCCTCGTGAAATATAAATTCGGTGCATTAGTCCTCTGTGATTTAAAAAATGCATAAAACCCTCTTGTGTTATAATTAATCAAAGCGCAAAATCCTCTCAAAGAACAAATTTAATTATTTTCCAAAAAAATGAAAAATGATTAGTTTTTTTGTGTAATTTAGAACTTTTGACAAAGTTACATGCATATTCAACTATATTATTAAGAAAAACGATTTTAAAATTGTAAAATTTGTTCTTGCATGAGATTTTGTGCATGATTAATTGCAACACAAAGGGATTTGACACATTTTTAAATCATAGGGTGCTAATGTGACAAATTTATATTTCACGAGGGGGTTTGGTGCATTAAAATGATATTGTAGACAAACTACAATCTTCTTAAAGTTTGCACTATTCAAACTACAAATTATTTAAAACACAGAGAGAGTATATTTACATTCCTTCCACCGAGTATATATATTAAATTATTCACTTATATTTGAAGTGAATAAACAAATTGAAAATTTCAAGACTCCATATAGACTAATTGCGCTAGACATAATCACAATAACTGTTTTTTTTTTAATTTGGGACTTCCCCTAATAAATTAGTTGCAGCGGCATGTTCATGTCATGTTAGCTCATAAAAGAATCATATATGTTCCACAAAACTATTACTAAGCATATATACATTTATTTACATATTATGTCTATTTTTTTTTTTTTTTTTTTTTTTTTTTTTTACATATTATGTCTATAGGACATGTTAAAAAAAAACTCAATAAACGTACGTTATTAGTAGGTCTCCGATAGATTCTTTTGTAAGCTAATTGCCACCTCATCGCCACACCACGTTTACATCATGGCCACATCAGCATCACCATACCATTTCTGGACCATGCACTCCGTATCTTTTTTTGTTTATGAATACTCATTTATTCTATAATAAATAGTTGTTATGTTGTTTGCACAATCATTTTGTATATATGGGTCAAAGAAATGGCCGGTGGTGCCGCCGACAACGTAGGTAATTGAGGGCGGTGGAAATAAATAAATAAATAAATAAATAAATAATAAAGGAATTGATATTTGAAAGAAAAAATTGACAAGAATAATATCACATTTCGCTGGTCTTCTCATAATAATCTCACATTTATGTAATCTAAGAATAATCTCACATTTGCACTCCATCTTCTTTCATTGGACCTTGACTTATTGATGACCTACAAAGATGAGATTATTTATATAAGATTTTCAAAGAAAGGGCCAATGAAAGAATATGAGGTGCAAATGTAGGATTATTATGAGAAGACCGGTGAAAGATGAGATTATTCTTATCAAATTTTCCGATTTGAAAATGTAGATGATGTAGAATTGAGGTGGTAATTATATGGCAATGATGTGATGAATATGTGTCTTTGAGGTCGGAAGTTTACATGAAAAAAAACTAATTTAGTGATTAATAAGTTCGTGTCGTATCCCTTCAGGGATATCCCATAAAATTGGAGTGATACAGAAATATTTGTGTGGTTGATAAGTTGATTATGTATTTTCTGGGTATATGGCCGAATTGATGAATTAGAGATAGTAGAAATATCTATTTAATTGATAGTTGTACAATTTTAATTATTTGGTATTTCGCGTTATTAATCCAAACACCACAAATTTGAGATTTCTCCATACCGTACTTGGAAACTTTGAAGATATCAAGTGGTTAATGATCATATTCTGGATCTTTTCTAATTTAACCTTATCCCTTTGATTTTTTTTGTTAGAAATAATACTATCTATGTGGGGGATTAACAGATTAATCACCTGATTAAGCATCCATTTGAAGCCAACCGCAGCTGAGCACTCATTCTTTGAGGAACTTGTTAGAAAATCAAGATTGTAAACCTTATCTAAAGTCTTTATCACCATTGACACATTAGCCCTCCTTTGCCTTACATTGAAAATTTCCCCATTGGAACTCACATTTATGTGACTATTCAACAATGTCTCAAACCATCCACTCCCTGACCTCTGCATTGACAATATGGCAAAGAACCTCACAGGATTGCACTCACATTCCCCCCTGTTCATACTCTAACCATAATTAGAAATCATCTTAAATCAATTAATTAATCCAAAATTTAATCTAAAGATGCTTAGCTATATATAAGAACCTGCTAAATGTCTGAGGTTTAGGGAAGTGCTGCAAAGGAATCTCCCACTTTTGAACATTACTACTAGGAATGGAACATTTGGGATCAATCAAGGGGATGCTTAGAGAACCTATGCTTCTTAAGTTAGTTGTTTGTCTCATACATATAGAAATAATGTATACTCCACACACCACTGCAAATAGCATGACCACCTGAACCAAATACCATCCATGATCATTCCTCTGAGTCAATGACTATAATGAGACATCTAAATATCACTAACCTTCTTTGTTCATGCCCCACAAATAAATGAATAAATTTATTTTATTTTTGTTTTAAACGAATGAATAAATCCAAATAAAATGAGATGTAGATCTAGCTAAAAACAGTATTGTTGGAGATCAAGAAAGCTAACCTGAGGCTTCCATCTAATGGAAAATTCCATAAAAATGTATGATCACTGATGAGGAAGGAAGAGAAAGAAACTATTGTTTATGGGTTTTAGTTGTATTCCTGTTCTATTATTGTACGTTAGAAAATGGAGGAGAAACAAATGGCCAGTATAGAAAAAGTCTACTCATGATCAGGGAAAATAATTCTTTTTATAGATTAATACTACGTGTATGAAACTAGGTACGAAATGTACGATTACAATTCGTATGGGACTACGTAATATGAAACAAAAGATTGTCAAAGAAAGAAATTACCTAAATCATTGACTTAGTGGCCGGGCAAGGTGATGATTTAATTTGATCAAAGTATTTGTATCTATAAACTTATATTTTTATTTGTCAATATTATTAAATTGATGTGCTTTGTCAATAATATATATAATGTTTAAATATGTCTCTCCAAATATAGTACATTTTGTTCTACATTCTTGCAATTTTTTCAGTCTCTTCAATTTATGTTAGTTTTCTTGTTAGTCCATCATCGATGATAACAACCTTCGCATGACTTCAAAATGATCCGACCAATAGATTTCCTCTAATTCTTTATCATGTTATTCAAAAAGTATTTAGTTTTACTTTAGTTTTTATAAGGATTTTAATATATGTTTTTAAAAATGTGAATAAATAGTTTTACATTATTTTAACTCTCATATTAGACTAAAAAAATTAGGGAAAAGTACGGAAAATATACTTGTACATGGTTGGGCCATTTTCAGATAGGGTCATGTGTTTCATTCGTTATCAAAGTGGTTCATGTGTTTGAATTCCGTTATCACAAGAGGGTCACGCAGTCACGCTGTTAAAAATGTCTGAGAAAGATGGTTAAAAGTAACCCCGGTTTTCAAAAGTGCCTGAAAAATTAAATGAAAAATACGGGAAGGTGCGCCTCAATAAGACGACCGCTAGGCCATCTTTCTTTTTTGTTTTCAGCCACCCTTGTCACCGGAAAGTCCACCGAAAAAGTGATATTAGTGAAATCATTTTTAAAAAATAATGCAAGCAGATCCGAAAATCCAAAGGCGAAGGTGGTTTGGAGGTCACCTTGACGAGGCGCACCATTCGGTATTTTTCTTTTAATTCTTCGGGCACTTTTGAAAATCAGAGTTACTTTTAACCGTCTTTTTTCATACGTTTTTAACGGCGTGACCCTCTTGTGATAACGGAATTTAAACACATGAACCAATTTGATAAAGAATGAAACACATGATCCTATCAGAAAACGAGCCCAACCACAAGTACCTTTTCCGTATTTTTCCAAAAAAAATATAAAAGGACAAATTTAAAATGTTCAAGTAGATTTATACAAACAATAATTCTTTTCTAGATAGAGTAATTTCAAAATTAGAGATGAAATAAAAATAAAATAGTGTATATTACTGGGATGAAACACTAAAAAAATATTTCGTAGACATCAATACAAAGTGTGTCATATTTGAAGGAATTAAAAACGTAACGTATTTAAGCCATTGTATAATACCTATGATTTTTAATTAATAGACAATTCTAAAATAATAGTACTATGTGTTAAATATGATAATATGAGTAATTATCGTCATGCTGGTAATATCATTATCAATTATGATATCATTAATATTGTCACAACATAGTAATGCCAAAATATGATACTACTATGTTTTATTAAAGTGTATTTTAATCTATTTATTATTAATTTATCACTTATTTCTCATATTTTAAATATGATCATATATTTGTTCATTAAAACTCTAAAAGTAATATCACAAGTCACTACTTTTTATATAACTCATTTATAATTTTTGTGATTTATCTAAGGTTTACACTTATAATTTACTCGAATTGAGTTGTCTAACTCATTCATACACGTTTAAGCTGGTACAAGATGCGTACGCGCATTTTTATGTGTGCATAGACATTTTTCATTTTGAAAGTGAATTTTTGTATCACGGGCAATCTTTTTAACTTGTGTCAAAAACAATTTTTTTGTTTATGTCATCGACAAAAGCTGTTTGTGCTAGTTCATTGATAATTTTATTCTTTATTTAACTATTAATAAACATTACATATAATAATTATTACATATTGTGGTTATAATACTAAATATTGTTATATTTATAATTATTACTATTATAATTATTACATATTCCAATGTATTGTATATATAATTATTATATATAAAAATATGTGTGTATACACACAAAGGCTCCCAAACTGACTCAACTAAATAGGCTAAAATAAACAGACTTGAATTGAGTTTGTTAAATACTCGAATTTAACCGAATTCAAGTCAAGTTTTTTTCCTGAATGATTTATACATTTCAGGAACGACTTGGCTCATTTGCATTCCTATTTTGCAGAGAGACAAATCGAGACGTGTACCCGAAACACCAAAATTGAAGTACTCTAGAATGATTTGAAATTACAACAAACATCTGTAAGGTGAGAACTCTGGTATCCATTCAAAAAATGATGTACCGTACCTACCATTCACTTGATTGGTCCACATAGGTATATCAATTTTAATTTAGACTTAAATAATTAAACTACAACATTCTGATTGGTTCATGTAGACAAATGTACGGTACTTTTTGGGTATCATAGAATCTACCCATTTGTACAGCACAAGTAATTGAGTGCCGACACGGTACGCTGTCCATAAGTTGAGATAGCTTTAGGTACATTTAAGTGATTTCACATTGTGGAAGTCAAAGTTTTTTTGGAAAGAAAGATCAAATAATACGGACTACGGAGTACTTCCTAGTACTGAGTATAATACTCAGTCACTCAGTCAGTTTACTCAATTTAAAAAAGAAGATGTTACTCCACTTGGTATTATTCCCTGAGAAAAAAGTGCAAATAGGTCCATGTACTAACCAAAAAATGTCAAATAAACCCTTATTTAGGAGACTCTGTCCGGCCGTCATCATTTGGGGTGGTTCCCGGTGAAATTTTTTTATGAAATATTTTTAGCATCTTATTCATCAAGTCTAGTTTACTCATACCAAATTTCAGCTAAAACTTCAATCGGGAAGGCATTCAAATGAATTTTTGAAGATAACTGCGCTTCTAACTGCGCAGTTATTTCGGGTACACATATTGTGTACAATAAGAATTAGGGGTGCGCAATCAGTTTTCAGTTCAGTTCGATTTGGAACAATTTGGAAGAATTATTACCAAACAAAATCACATTGTATTTTGGTTTGATTCTATTTAGTTCGATTCGGTTTGGATATGTTATTTCTTAATAATATACTCCGTATAAAGGTGTATTGAATTTCTATAGTTCGGTTCGATTTTATTCGATTTTCTCGATTCCTGTTCGGTTCAGTTTAATACAATTTGGAAGAAATACTATCAAACTCAAATCAAATTACATGATTTAGGTTAGATTTAATTCAGTTTGATATGATTCGATTCCGTTGAACTAAACCGATATGCTCACTCCTACTAAGAATGGTTCTAATATACCATCATTCTGACATTCATACGCAATTTAAATGTGAGTTATTTGCTGACATTTAAGTTTTTATTACTTTTTGTATTAATAGGCTACTCATACATTCATACAAGATGACACGCATCTAGATTCCCAGTTAGGGTGCAAATATTTTGCATTACCATTTACCAAATACCATTTGAGATTCTACCTCGCATACAAAATGAAAAATATGTTGGTAGGTATTAGGGAGGGGTAGGTACGTGGGTTGCGGGAAAGTTTCAAAATTTTGGTTTAGGCTTTTTGTTGTTTGTGTTTAGTGAGTCAAGTTACTTTTTGTGTGAGCATATGCTTTTATGCCTAATCCTAGGACTTGAATTGTGATTATGTTTGAGATTTATATCTCGATGTTCGCCTACGAGTTTCCAACATCTTAATAATATAGAGTTAAAACAACTCTAGTTCTTCAATTATTTGTCTGACATACTTTTAATACTCGCGGGTAGTTATATGGAGATACCACTAGTAATATTTTAAAAGAAAATTACGATAATTGTAGATAAAGAAAAGTATTTGATAATAAATTATACGTGAACTCTTACATCTATCCGCAATTGAGCTATTTATACTAACCATAAATGCTAGGTGTATTAGATGCACGTACACGTATAAAATAGCTTATGTGTGAAGCTCTATAACATACAAAAATTAGACATGTGGCGTTAGAGGAAATTGATATGACGCAGACAAGGCCCCCGTTTGGATAGTAGCGGTTTGAGCAAATCGCGGATTGTTTTGAATTGCCAAACGCTACATTTTGCGGCGGTTAGGCAGCAATCCGCTAAAAACCACACGGGACCAAGGTCCTCATCTTAGATGGAGGATCGTACTGATTTCTTCAATGTTATTTGGTGAAGTCTCGTCCCGGGCGAGGGGCTTGAGGCCAAGGCATCTAGGTGGAGGGATCGGCCTTGAGGCAAGGCATACAGGTCAAGGGATCAGCATGGATCTATACAGAGAGCCCGTTTGGTAGCACGAAAATCGGCTGATTTGGCTGATTCTGCTGAAATTTATGAAGTTCTGGGTGAAGTGGCTGCATTGGCTGATTCTGCTGATTTAAGAAAAAATATTTTTAAAATATATTTTATTAATAAAATCAAGAAAAGTTATATGTACAAATAGCTAAAATAGTCATCTACAGCAACTTCAGCCAAAGCAGTCAGAAAAGTAACTCTAACCTTACTTTTTCTGCTTATTACACAATTTAGCGCGAGAAGACAAAAGTTACGTGTTTGGTGAAAAAGTTGACCGGTAAGCCTGATAAACCGAAAAAAAGTGGTTCCAAACGGCCTTATAAAGTCATGCCATCTATTTTATCAAGCGGGCCTTCTGAAGGTGCTTCAACTAGCAGAGGGCCCATTCCAAATATCCACGAGTAGTGATGGACCCGGGCCGGGTCGGGCCCGGGGCGGGCCAAGGCCCGGTCGGGCCTCGGGTCTGGTAATGGTAGGCCCGGGACCGGCCCGAGCAATGGCCGGTTCCGGTTCGGGCCGGGCCACCCGCTCGGGTCACGGGTCAGGCCACCCGCCAGGCCGGGCCGGGCCAGTATTTTTTTATTTATTAATTATATATTATACAAATTCCTATTAAAAACAAAGTTCAAGTGCATTTATTTGAAATAAGAACTACATTTGAGA